ATTCTCTGCTTCAACAGACCTTTTAAGGCCCACAGAGAGGGATTTAAGCTTTTTGTTCAGAGTTTCAATGGTTTTTTGAAAAGTGAACATCCCGAATAAAGTCTGCATGAAGAAAAAGAAATTCAGGTCAGGCTAACTACTAAGGAGTCATAACAGAAAAAAAAACACATTTCAGTGAAAAGAAGAGTCACCTCCATAGTAGCGGTTGGGAACTGTTGGAACATCTCACCAAAGGATAGCTTGTTCTGGATTTCAAGGTCTTTGGGGGTCCAGAAACCCTTGTAGAAAGCAAAGGAGGTGAGGGGGTCCTTGTATATTGAGTCAGTGGGGCCAATGGTTGATCCATCTTCACGGCTGAGCAAAGGTTATCATGGAAAAACGGATGGAATTGGACCAGAGGTTCTGGCCGACTCGCCTTCAGGAATGAAAAACCGGGCAGGGGGCAATGGTTAAGTAACCTTGAAGGAAGCCGTCCTGATCCTTCGGGTCGGTGGGATATCACTCTGATCATGACCGCCCTCAGGCATTGGCCTTTTTCCTAAACTCTTTTCTGACAGACCAGCATTAGCTGGCCCTCCATTGTCTTCAGAATTTCCAGCATCCTGAGTGCTCTCTGAGGAAGTATCGGACGAGATGTTTGAAGGCATAATGACGGGGGCAGCAGGACGGATTTCAGCAGTATGACCCACAATAGGGTTCTCAGCATGGGTGAGCTCAGAGGGCGCATTAGCAGAACAGTTTGAGACTTGAATCACAGCTGGGGCAATCGCAACTTGCTCTGGGGTAAAGACAGTAAGGAAAGATGATGTGGAAGCAGGTGTAGATGATGATGATATGATAGCAGGAGCGTTAGAAGGGGTGGGAGCAGGACGCCTCCTCCTGCTGAACGATGGAATCTAAATGTTCTCCATTGTAGACCCTAAAAGAGAGATGTTAGAGAGATTATCAGATGTAAGCAAATCAGTAGCTGAAGGGACATCGTTCAACACACTTTCTTGCAAGGTGTCTAGCCTAACCCTGCAGATGCTATAAACTAGTTCATCATAGGGAATTTGAAGGCATCTATAAAGAAAAGTGCAAAAACGGGGAAGACAACTTTCACAGTGGCATTCAGTAGGATGTGTTTTCAGCTTTTTATAGCCAGAGACAGAACATGCTCCAAAGGAAGAAGGGATAGAGAAGGATTGGCCGAGCTGAGTCTGCCAATTCCCACCAACCACGATTAAATTTCGTCTCCAACCTTTTTCAAATGAGTTTTTATCAGTGCAGATCGACCGTTTGTCAATAGGGAAGAAGTGATAGTACAAGTCATTTTGTGAAATCTTGTTAATCCGATAGCAGAGGAGAAGGTCAATAATGTCAAGATTGAGACCCCTATCACGATTCAAGAGTAGGAGGACTGAAATTACCCTAAGAAAGTTTGGGTTAACTTGTAGGGGGCAGAGCCCCAATTTGTTGAAAGCATAACAAAAGAACGGGTGTAGGGGGAACCTAATGACGTTCAAGTGAACGGCGGAGAATAAAACTTCCCCAGGAAGAAGACCCTCACCAGATCTCTCGTCTAAGTTTATTGGGTAGACTCTGAGAGAAATGTCGCGAGGAATGTAATTCTTGGATCGAATGACGTTCAGGTTAGGGGGAGCCATAAATAAGGGGAAGAGTCCTAGGCAGTAAAGGTGTCTTTTAAGGAGAGATTTAAAAAAAAAACTAACCTTGAAAGTTTGTGATGAACTCAGCAACGGCACAGTAGTTAAAAATCGAAAAGGAAGGACTTGCCGGAGAAATTGAAAAGGATGGCCGAAATGTGCAGGAAAGCAGCAGAGAGTAGAAGCGAAATGTAAGAGGAAGGGTGAAGGTTGAAAGACCAGAATTTATAAAGAGGAGAAGTAAAGGCGACATGGAACTCAAAAGGTCAAGGCAAAAAGTGGTGTTGCAGATCTCGAAACTTGGGTTTTTGTGCCAGCCGTGCGATTCCTCGTGTCATTGCTCCGAGCCGTCAGACCAAGATCATGTCTTTTCAATAATCTCACCCTCATTAATGAGGAAAGAGATTATTGGGGGCAGATGAGGACACCAAAATGACCCGGGTTTGGTGTGATCTGCATTGTAGAGGACGGGTCGGTGGACAAACGGGATGGAGCAAGTTTGCGCGGGATGGGCCCAGGTCCATAAAGTCATTTCAGAAGCCCATGTTAAAATGAGGGAAGTTGAGTCCAGGCAAAGGGAAGCAGATAAGGCCCAGGCCAAAGGAGGTTGTGACCATCTATAAATAAGGGAAATCGAGAGGGAAAAAGAGGATTGGGAGTGAAGAAGTTCTCTCTCTGTAAAAAGGGGAAATTCCTTGTACTTTCATGAGAGTTTAGTGCAAAATGCATATAGAAAAAAGGATTTAATGCAGTTCACCCTATTATATAATAGTAATTTTTTCTTTTTAAAATTATATACCTATGGAAATTTAATGTTTTTCCTCAAATTATAAAATAAAATTTCACTTTTGTCCTCCTCACATCATTTTTTGAGTCCAAAGATATACATAAAGGAAGTTGGTTGTAAAGTTGTAACCCAGCCTTAAATTATTTTTGCAACTATTTACACTTTAGTTTAATTGGAATATTATAATAACAACCATAAATTATCATTACAAATATTGGGTTGTCTATTAATCAAGTTAATTTGTTGCTTGTTGTGATTGAAGACGTACGTATTTTATGGCTAAATCGAATATTTCACCAAGTTGCACAATTGTTGATATGAAATCAGTAACCCTACTATCAAAGGAAATATCTATTTTGACTGACGGAAGAGTAAAATCTAAGTCACACAAATTTATTAAATAAGTGGTGCTCTCATATTTCTTGCTCGCTTATGTTTTTTTTGTTTTACACGCACTCTTGCTCTACTCTTAGCCTCTCACTCTAGGTGATTTTATTCTTTTTACATCTAACTTAGAATAAGACAGTAAAATAGATGATCTTAAAACACGACTGATAAAATGTGTTTAAAATAAATTAGACCACTTTGAAATGAGTTTTAAAATGTTTGAAATTTAAATACATGTTTGAAAAGTAGTTTGACACACTTTATGATAAAAAAATAAAAAAATAAAAAGAAGAAGGAAGGTTTCTATTAAATCACGTATCATTAAATTGAAATAAAAAACTAATCCAATGCACAATGTTTATTTGAGTAATGAAACTTAGAGACATATTTTTCATATGAAATAGTCTAACTTAATTAATTGCTACCATTAAATATTTTAAAGTAGGTCTTATTAAAAGACTTACTTTTACGCATCAAAAAGTTATAAGTGATGCGGTCAAATTTTACTTTGAAAATCATTTTTCCCCTTATTGTATGCCTGTGTGTCTGTACCTGTAGGTATAATACACAATTACGCATATATAGCCAACCCCAGTTAGGGTCTCACTCTGGCCTTTCCCCTACACAACTTTAAAATCAATAGGGACATCATGGACCCCCTGTTGTCTTGGGGTAGGGGATGAATTGGGGAGGGGGAACTTCTGTATGCATAATTCAAGTGGCAGCATCAGTCGAGCAAAATACACACATGTGTGTGTGTGAACCCTGCTAGTTGTGTGTTGCAACCATTGCTTTTTGGCGCTGGATGCAATGGATCCCACCTGACATTTATCATTGCCGAAATGTAAGTGCAGCCAGTGTTGCCACAACTATACAATATTAACTCTTAAATTATATAAGTTACACGATAAAATTCATAAATTTTAAATATAACCACAACTTTATCGTAGAATCTACCGCATGTAACAACTCAAAAACAACAATCATTGTATAGGGATATTTAATTCATTGTCACAAACTTATTTGTTTTCACCGTGGAAGCCTCTTAACAAAAATAAATAAATAAATAAAATACAGTAGAATCTTAACAATTTTTATGTCATGAAGGAGTCCTAAAATAAAAATTAAAAAATAATAAAAAAGAAAGAAGAAAGATATAGCATAAGTATATATATTATATATACACACAATATGGCTGTGGGTGATTGATTAGACACTAGTTTCACCAACAAAGTCAGCCGGGGAAGGCTTATCAATAAGGTAAAGAGTCTCACTTGACACATAAAAGAAAGAGAGGAGCACATGGTCCAAGAAAAAAGGTAAACAAAGTTAAAAACTCTTTGGCTCATCTTTGGGGCTTAGTTTTAGTCCATCACAAGAAAGACAACAGCAACCACACTCAAGTTATAGTCAAATTTCTCTTCAACTCAAAGATGTGATTTTTGTGAATGGTCTCTGCATAAATGGAAAAGATGCTGTGCTTTCTTCTGCACCCCACTGCCCCCGCCCAGCCACCACTGATTTCGATGAGAGAGAGAGAGTTAAAGATAGAGAGAGAAACAGTTTAGAGAGAGAGAGAGACAGGGGTGAATGGAGTTCGTGTCCGTGTGTTGAGAGGGACGAGTGAGGATGTCATTAAGCCTTACAACTGTGGCACTGAAAAACATGGTAGTTTTCTTCAGCATTTATAAGAGTACAGAACAGCAGTGAGAAAGGACTATCTGATTCCTCTCTCTCTTTCTCTCTCCTTCTTTTTCAATTTTAATTTTTTAAATCTTCTTTTGTCATAATTTTAGGTCAGTACTACTCTTTAATGCATGGTCCGGGGTAGGGGTCACCTCCATTTCCTGACCACCTCGGCCAACAAAGATCTCCAAATAGTCCAAACAGATAAATCCAAAACTACCAAAAGTTTGAGACATGAGAAAGACCAATTTATTGTTTTTTTTTGTCTATAACATTTCATGTGGCAGTAGTTACAGAAAAAATTATGACCTGGGTATTAATGAAAATTCATATCCACATAGTTAGTAGCTCCATTTTGATCTCAAGATCACAATCCATAATTGCATATCTTCATCATCAATATAATGTTAAACAGGGACCAGACTGTACTAAGCCAACGTACATACAAGTAAAAAACCCATATCAATAATACAAAGTTAAAGAAAGAAAAACTATACTATCAACCAAAACCATCATATTATATAGTCACCATTTACCAATTTTAGTGAACAAATAACAACACACACCAATTGGCTGATACAACACTCCATTAATCAACGTTAACATGCCTGAATTAACTAACCACAACAACACCTAATAGGCCATTTCTAGGTATGTTGATAGATCCATCTTTTTTTTTCTTTTTCTTTTTTTAAAATGAAAAGAAAAGGTAACATTGACATGAATATATGAAGAGACATCAAGATCTACAGGTGAGCAAATTTTGTGTGGTGATATTGATTATGATCAGTTCGATCATCGTGCTCGACTTCGCCTTCTGTTATGGCAGATGACATGTAACTCAATGCCAACGAGTTCTCATCCGGAGGTGCCATTGCTGTCCTTGCTTGAAATTGTTGTTGACAAGCATGACAAGTGATTTGAACAAGTATAGAATTGATTTGTTTGATGGCATGCTCTTTTAGAGCCCGAGCTTTGTCTAGCTCGGACTGTGCTTGTTGCCTTATTCTCTTGGCATTAGCAAATTCTTGCTCAGCTAACTCAATCTGTCTCTTCACTTGCCGTCTAGCCTCCTCCGCATACGCCTTCTCTGCCATGGCCATCCTCAGTTGTTCTCGCGCTTGTTCTCTGAGTCTAGAGGCAGCAAACGTAGGCTTCTCATTAGTACTAATAGTACTTTCCCTTAGAGAGCTCCTGCAGCCTGTGTTGTTGCTGAATTTGGCGATGTCCGGGTCGTTTTTCTCGCCGAAATCAGACGACCCTATTGAGAGCTGCAACTGGGTAGAGTGGTTTTCGTCCGCTTTGGGGGAAAGTGATGAAGAGTCACGTGGATTGGATGTGGTTAAAAGCTGAAGCTCTAAGTTGTGGTGATGCAAGCTCTTTGAAGAATTACTCTCTCCATCTGGGGTGATGAATATGGTGTTATCTTTGGGTTTTGGCATTACCAAACCAGGCCAAGGAGCTGTGCTGAAATTGGTGTCACTGGACGGGCTCGGGCTCGACGCCTGCCGGGACAAACAAGCCGGCTGATGCAGTGACTGTGGCTCGGACCCGAGCCGCCCCATGTTGCAAGCATCTTGGTGCTCTATGAAACTCTCCACCCTATAAAGTGGTAAGAGGATGATTAAAGAACCTTTCAAATATCTTAAAAGTTTATTTTAATAAGTGATGAACAAGTGCAATGATTCTAGATGCAGTGGAAAAGTAGAGCAAGGACATTTTCAAAAACCATGACATGATCTTGGTGTTTTTGTTGATGAAGACGGATACTAGCTAGCTAGGAGATGAAGTCATTAACTCGTATCGATGCAAACAACCGCATAATGATCTTCTTAGGAATAAACATATATAAGAAAATGGAATGAGAATCCAAATGTGCATAAATAAATGTCCTGCAATATTATTATTAGAATGAAGACTGAGTTTGGAATATTGTATACAAAAACATGCTAATCACAAGTTAATTAAATCATTTGTATGAAGAATAGTCATCTCATACACAGAGAATAAATAAATAAATATATATATATATATATATATATATATATATATATATATATACTAAATCAATACCTAGTCAACTACATAAAAACTGTGTTGGGGTTTTGGGATGCTGAAAAAACTTGAAACTGATGTCAATATGCCAAATGTAACCTGATTTTCGAGAACTGTGCTTAGCTGGTGATTAACTATTGTTAGATAAAGAATTAGGCTTCCCAATCAAAACCCAGTTCTTATTTTATAATACTAATAAAAAAGAAATGTTAACAAAGAAGAAGGTGTGAGACATGATTCAAGAAGATTCAATCATATACGGGCTTGTAATTTGCAACAACACTTTCCAACCTAATGAAGGAATTAAGAAGAGAAACTATATAATATTTTTATTCAAATCTTCATTGTGCAAGATAGAAATATTCCAATTTAAATGATCTAATTAAAAGAAGTATATATACCAATAATGATCTTAGTCTAGATTGTGAGATATAGAAGAATGAATGAATTAATTACCTTGAGAAAACACGGCCACAGTCACAAGAATGGCCTCTGGTACCACAGGTTTTGAGATGAGCCTTGTAATCCGATTGAACAGCATACCCTTTTGAGCATTTCTCACAAACCCATTGCTTGTGATTGCTGTGCTTCCTTCTGAAGTGCTTCTTGATACCCACTAGATCGCCGAGTGCGTGGCAAGGATCATGGTGCAAGCAGCTGGGCTCCGGGCACACGAACACTCGCTTCCTGGCCACCGGCGTCTCCCTCTTCAGCAGCTTCCAAGGCACCTTGTGCCTCCGCCGGTGCATCTGCAGGTTCTGGTCTCTCTGAAATCCTTGGTTGCAGATCTCACACACATATCTATCCGATTCCAATAACGTCTTGGGTGAAAGCGAAACCACTTCTGCATCCGGATCTATACACATCAAAATGATTAATTTCACAAAACCTTACAAATTAGAGAACCAATCAAAACACTATATATGTATATATCTATAGTCTAATATATACCTGGAGTTCCGGCTGGTCGTCGTTTTCTCTTGCTATTACTTCCATTATCGGAGGAAGAGAAAGGGTCGGGAGGAGGGAGTGTGGAAGAGGGGTTGTTGTTGTTGAACATAGATGGATTGGATGGGTTGTTTATCTTGTATATGCTAATTTGTTATTGATTGAATGAGGTTGAGAGACTAACCCACCAAAGCAATAATCACTCACTGTGAGGGCTTTAATATAAGGGCAGAAGTGGGGTGATGAGAGAAGAAAGCTAGCTACAACATGAGAGGAAAGGAAAATAATAAAAAGGCTCTTCTTTCGGTTTAACAACAGCTTTCTTTTAGCTTTAAACTTTCAGCTTTTTTTTTTTCATCAGCTAGAGAAACTTACTTTCTCTCTCTTCTTTCTCTAACCTTCACCTTCATCAGGTATTATTTCAGAGTCTCCCTTATAAACTTCTTCAAAAGGAGAGAGAGAGAGAGAGAGTAGACAGAAGAGAGAGAGAGGGAGAGGGGTGTGATCCAATCAGATGATTGAAAAAAACTTGATCCCACAAGCAACAATTGGACCAAAGAAAAAAACATCCTGGCTCGCAAAGAAACAAAACAGTCATTATTCAAAGAACAGTAAAAATTGCATGCATAAATACAAGCCAATTCTATATATGTGTACAGGTAAGCATCCTCACTTTTTGTCAGTCTCTGTCACACTAGCGTTAGTATATGAATGAGAGGTGGCTAGATAGAGAGACCGACCACAACCATACATCTACCCATTCTAGTTACCCGGATGATGTAATATGTGCCACTGTGTGTGCCCTAGGATAATATATGTAGGTGACTCATTTTTAAGGTATTGTTGACTCGTTTCAGTCCTTTGACCACTTATTTCACTTCTTTTCAACTACTGTACTTATTGTTTATTTATTTTTAAAAAATAATTTCAAAACTAAACCAAATAGTAAAGAGGTTTGCTAGCAACCATCACACAACTATTGCTAAACAGTTGCTTATCTAATTGGGTGAATGGTGTTAGGTTTTTTTGAAGTTGAAATTGTGAGCAGCAGCCATCAATATTATTAGACACACTAGTTTCGGTTGAATGTAGAATCTGTTTTTCGAAAGGTCTCACGGAGCAACACAGGTTAGGATTGATTTTTTTTTATCAAATATATATATATATATATATATATATATATATATATCAACACCATTCGATCCCCGATAAACTGTCTCTAACAAACCTGAATAATAAAAATGAATTCACTTATTGAGTTCTATTATTACACTTAATCAATGAAGATATCATGTTACCATTCCAAAAAAAAGAAATATGAAGATACTATATTATTAATATTGAATAAAGATAAGTAATCCAAAGTTACATTTAATTAGTGATGATGATATCATGTTATTAATATTGATTCCACAGTTTTATATGAGTGAGGATAACATCGTGATGGCGTTTACATCATCCTTCACTCATATAATTTTAGTTAGATGTGTCTGTGCAACTCTCGAGAAATTATTAAAATGGTCGTGGCCCATTGACACATGTTGGACAGTTAAATTCAGATTATCGGATTGAGAAGATGGCCCCAATATATTACAAAGAAATTTCACCAATAGCTTTCATTGGATTAGTCCTTCAAGTGTTAAATGGACCAAGATCATCTAATAATTTCTCGCAACTCTCGGACTCTGTATCATTACTTATTAATATTTTTCAATTGATAGAGGGCTTGTGGACCTAGGGATGACAAATATCCCCATTTCGGCTGGGCTGCGATTTTGGAGAACCGATTATGTAAATAGGGATGAGGATGGGGCTGCTTTGAAAAATCCGGCGGGTTTTGGGACAGTTTGTCCAACCCCACCCCACCCTGAACATACTATAAATTTATTAAATTACCCCTACATATTATGATATATTACTAAAATAGGTTTTATACTTATATATATATATATAACAGGAGGAAAACCTAACCATCATTTCATTTCATGTCTCAAATCTTATGAAAAAAAAAAAAGAGAGCCGCAAGTAGAAATGGCAAAAATTCACACCCCGACGGGCCCCCGCCCCGTTTGGGTAATCGATTATGTACATGGGGAAGGGGATGAATGCTGCTTTGAAAAACCCAACGAATTTTGGGTGATTTTGGGGGTGAAAAAATTAAACGAGGATGGGAATGAGATCCCCGTCCCATTGCCATTGTGAGTGCTTGTGAGTAGTGACTCAGATTGAATGGATGAGGGTTTATTTGATCCAAATATGATAAGATTGTTGCTCGATTTGATCCAACTCAATAACTCATGAATGATTTTATATCCGATTTGTTATTAAACGAATATTTGATTTGCTAATTCAATTTATTAAAGGTGTTTTTTTTTAAAAAAAAAAAAATGAAAAAGAAATTAATGTTCAAAAAAATATCAGCAAACAATAATTAGAATAAAAATGATAGAAAATGGAAGATAAATAAAATATTGAAGAAAAATGGGATCAAAATTAGATCTTTTATTATGTATTAAGAAATAAACATTTGGGAGTAAGGAAAAAAAATTAGAGGGGAAGAAGAAGAGGAAATAATATATTATGTCGAATCGAATTGATCATAATTCATATATAATTTGTTATCAAATTTCAATCGCTACTGATTATTGAATTAAATCTTCAATCCATAGAGTATTTAGATTCGGACCAAAATCAGATAAAGGATTCTCTTGGCTTGTTTTTAAATTTTAAAAGAGTCTATCAGGCTCTAATAATAATTTGAGTAAGAGTCAATTCATATAAAAGTTTGCCCCACAGCCTTGTTGGATCAATTGGCATAGTAATTAATTTGATTGGACAAAGAATTTTATATTCCATATTATACTCACTCATATCTAGCTTTAACTTTATTTCAATGAAAACCTATGATTATTACATTTATTATTCATCTAAAATCAATAAGCTAGGGTGCAGGTATTTAAAATCATTAAGTGGTAATGTTCTTAACATTAATGACATATTTTTAATATTACCATTTTAGGATAATTATGTTGTCAATAAAGTTGTATTGATCTGCAAATTAATTTCAAAATTACATTTTGTATTTGGTAGCACTTTGAATTTAAAATTTATATTAATTTTTTTTAAAAAAAATTCTAAATCTAAAGTGCCGATTGAATACTCCCAAATATAACCAAAAAAAAAAATTTTAAATACTGTCGACGACAGTGGACGAATACCTAAATTCTTTTATATATTTGCTGTACCTTAGTAGGGTAGGAAATAAATTATTCTAATCATGTGTCACAATTGTACATATGGACAATTGGACATGTATATATAGGCACGCAAGGTTTAAAGTTGATAATGGCTTAGCCTTAGATATATATGTGGTGTCTAATTTCTCCTCGTTACTATAGGTGTGTGTATATATATACTCATATTATGTAATAATAGAGAGAGAGAGAGAGAGAGAGAGAGAGTGGCCCATTGAGTGAATCATAAGAAAAAAGAGAGAAAAAGGATCCAAACTTTTTTGAAGTGTTTGTGGTTGCATATACAAGAGGGTTCAAATTTGTTGTTCACTTCTATATATGTGTAATCGTCCATCACTTCGACATCTATGTTTTAACTAATTAAAATTCAATTATCGTCTTTTCGGTGTTCTAAATTCATTATGATGGGTATTAAATAAAGCAAGCTCGTTAGGACTAAAACATGTTTTGTGAAACCCTTTCTTTTTTAATTTTTATTATTTTTATTTTTGTTAATTAACGAATCAATCAGATAAAAGAATGGAGGGGTTGTGATTGATAGATCAGCTTCGTCTTGAATGAAAAGATTGGTGAGTTGTTATGATTTTGTATAAGTGTGCAACACACTGTATCATATCTCAAAGGATAGAAGAATCTAAATAGGAAAAGAGAGGTCTTCCGACACAAAAAATGTGGCCTCCTGTTTGGTGGCTGACGCTGGGCCCCACTCTCATTCGCAATACCATAATTTCACTACCTCACCGCCCTTAATTGCTTTTCTATTTTAAGAATTAATTAACATCAAAGTTAATTAAAAGAAAGTATGATTGTGAAACATTTTAGAGGAATTCCAAATATTTATGAAACGGTATTATTACTATAGCTAGATAATAATATATATATATATATATCTAGGAGAGAGAATATGAACTAGAACTACTCATCAAATAGTGGTTCGTACAAACTTCTTTGTTTAGGCACATAATTAAAGATATATAAACCAATTAAGTAGTTAATTAATAATATATAAACGAAAGTATGATTAGATTCGGGATCGAGAACACAGTTGGGCGAAGTGATTGCGAAAGAGATACTCGTGTGATGCTGCATGTGTTTGAGAATCCAACTCCATCATCCTCCCATTCCTTTCCTTGCAATAAATTAACAAATTAAACAGCTTTACCTTTTTTCAATCTCATTTATTATTTTCCCAGCTTTACTTTTTTCAATGTCATTTATTATTTTCTTTACATCATCTTTCTCTATCATTCCTGCGACCAACAGAATGCTATTTCTGTCGCTGCTGGAAACTATTTCAAACCCAAATTTTCTATTTAAGCTTAAAAAATAATAATTAATAAATAAATAAAAAGTAACACCATGTTTGAGATCGCATTGATCTAAATTTTATTCAAATTAAACTTCAAGACGTGAGTTCATATTCTTCAAAACAACTCATACGAAACTCAATTTGAGAGAAAAAAAACACGTTTATGTGAGTATCACTATCATCATAAATATTTAATATGTTTTGTTTTTTTTTTTTTTAAAAAAAAGGAAAAATTAGTTGCTTGACTTTTTTTTATATATTTTTATTTGGGTCTTAACAATGTATTCCTATAATAAGAGGAATTAGAAAACAAGCCACTCCGTTTGAGGCGCACGAAACTGCACTATTGTAAATGACTTTGCATTTTGGATATACTTTTTGCAATGAATAGTGATAGTACTGGATGGCTAGACCATTGAGAAGCTAAAATTTTTTCTAGCTAGGTCAGTTAGATTAGATTATTTTCTTATTTTCTCTTCCACCAGATGTACTTGGATAAATTAAGAATTTGCTGAGTATTTGAAATTTCTTTTCATCATGTCATGATTCAATTTTGTTTTAGAATCACGAGTCTTGACCTACATTAAATTTTAACTCGAATCCCAGGCTCTATTATCGAAAGTTAAGTCAAGGTAGTGATTTGTTGAGTTGTGCGTAGATTTTGACATTAATTTCTTTTACCTATAACTCAATAAATAAGAGTACAAGGATTTTTTTTTTTTTTTTTTCATACGCTATTGAAACTTTTGATAGAGAGACAAAGGGTGTATTGAGGTTAGAAGTTGACAAATCTGTAACTAATTTCTTACTGGCACAGAGAAATACTGAAATCTCCCCGTAATCTTCTTTGTGGACGTAGACTATAAGTCGAACCACATTAAATTTCTATATGCATTATGGCACCTAGTTTTTCATTAATCCTGATATTCATTACTTGTTCTATTGTTGTAAGAGA